TAAATGCACTGATTTTAATTCGTGTTATTGTAAAAAGACTGATTATGTTCCGGTAATTGAACAATTATATCTTATAAAACAAAGAATAACTAGAAAAATGGCAATGTTATCAGTTGATCACAAAACAACTGAAAAAGTCCAAAAAAGAGATGCAAAATGAGACTGACTTAAAGCGTATGGAAAATAGTACTAATTTATTGGTAAATCAAATAGTCGATTATAATGATGAAATTGATACAAAAAATTCTTATGATAATCATAGAGAAGTTTCTAATATTTTTAAAATTCTACTCGCATAGCCATCAATATTTTCTGATTCATTAAGTTCGTACACGAAGTTAAATTTATCGGAATTTGCGTTTGTCTGTGATATTATTAGATTATAAGACAGATTTTCTGTGATTATCGCAAATGCAGTACTACAAGGTGTAGGAGTTATTTCAACTGATACTAAAGAAAGCGTTTTTTATAAAATGAAAATTCGAAGAGATAGAGAGAAAAAAACTGAAATGCTCTAAAAAATTAATAAATAGAGATATTTTAGTATTATATTTAGATAGGTAAAAGGACAAAATAATAATAAATATAGAAGAAGGAAGTAAATAGAAAAGTAATACATATAACACTTATTGGAGAGCCTAAGTCTTATTTTATTGGTCATGTTACATCAATTAATTGGTCTGCCATGATTTATAAAAATAATTAGTTCAAAACTTCAGACATTGCTTACATTGGTTGTGATGGTACAGTTGTAAATATAGAATGAAAAAGTGAAGTGATTTGGCAATTAAAAGTATAATTTGAAAAACCACTTCAGCAGTTATATGTCAACTTCACGAAAATAAACTTTCACTTCATTATTTATTTCAGCACTTGGATGGAAAAATATCTGTCCCCTTAAAATAAGTTGCTCGTGGCCTTTGTTTTCTTTGGCATCCTAAATTTACCTCTAGAAAACATATCGTTTATTTCAAACAGTGATCTTTAAAAACTTTTCATGAGATTTCAGTCCAGTAGTTAACATTTTAAGAAATATTAACAAAATTAATTTTTTTTTTATTTTTAAATAATAAAAAATTTAAAATAATTAATGAGCAAATAAAGATATTAATTGAGTGGGTTGATACTCATAATTATTAAATATCTAACATTTTCGCCATCCATATGTTACCTAAAATATTCTTTGAGTACTAGTAATTTAGATTTACTATGATTTTAAATATTGACTATAAAATTTTGAACTTAATTTTAAAATAAGATTTGATGTGTTCTAAGAAACTAATGATTTAATTCATAATTATAAATTGATTTTTTATCGAATATTTACAAGTCACTTCTTAATAATCAACGAAAAAAGGTAATTCTAACATATGTTATATTTTATAAGAAATATTAACTGCAGTATCAAACACAAATTGCCTGTCTGATATATGCTACAAAGTCTTTGATAAGAGAGCAAACTAATATGTTTAACTTCAATAAGAAGTTAAAAACTGGAATTGGTTTTACCATAATGTGGTAAACCAATGTAGACTGATTTTAATGATCAATGCATCAAAAGAACTCGATTGCAATCTAATCATTTAACTAATCATTTCGGGAAATTAAAAAAAAACTTCTTCAATTTTACAAATTAAAAATTATATCTCAAAACTACAATGAAAAATGACATTATATAATCTTAAATTTCGAAAATATTCGGTACGACAACTCTTCTTCAAACCGATATCATATTAAAGCTCTAAATATTTATATTTAAAAAAATCATCTCACTATTGTAGTACTACGAACAATTGGTCGTTAAATTAAAAAAATTCGCAATTAAAAAAAAATCTATTTTTAATTAACAAATAATTTAACAATCATTTAATATTTAAGTAAAATTTAAAAAAATAGAAATTATAAAAACAAGTAAAGTATAAAAATTGTTTGAAATTTAATAAGAACCCACCACAGTGGTTTCTTATAATAGTGAATAATATCACTATTATAAGAAACCACTGTGGTGGGTTTTTATAAAACATATTACTTTAATTTTTCTAATTATTTTATACTTAAAGTAGGCAAAAGTATTGTCATTTAAATAAATTAACTTGTAGTTGTACTAATTGGACTGAGATGAATTAAAAATTATTGAAATTACTTAAAAAAAAGAACTTTTTGTCATGTAAAATTAAGTAATCTATATTAGACTTATTTATCTTAAGTGAGTCACGCTCACTTTTCTTATATGCCTTTAAAAATACTAAAAAAGTGTCTGTTTAATATAATCAAACAATAAATTTTGATTATTTTTATTGGTAAAATAATTTTGAAGGAATTTAAATTTTTCAGTTTTGCCTATTGAATTTTAACAATTTACATAGGCGCGACCTGGGTTAGTCTAGAGAGATATAGCTTTTCAAAAATATGTCATAGTCCCCCAAAAAAGAAAAAAATGACATGTATATGTATTTTCATAAAAAAATATTTTTGAAATTGGNGTCCCCCAAAAAAGATAAAAATGACATGTATATGTATTTTCATAAAAAAATATTTTTGAAATTGGTGGAATTAAATTAGACTTCTCAAATATTTTTGTTAAATTAACATAGGCACAATTTATTGAAACAAATTGTATTGTTTTATTCTATAAATTATCACTATAGAAAAAACTTTAAGACTACTATTGTAGTATAAATTTCTTGGTTTGAATAAATTTATACACAAAAATGTGTAAGAGTTTATAATAGGAGTCCAATTAGTAATAATATTTAGAACATGTTGACAAAATGTGTAACTATCCAGTTTTTTAATAATCAGAATAAATAATTTGAGGTTTATTGTAAATATAGTGTTATGATAAACATAATTTTATTAATTTAATTTCAGACGGAAAAAAACACTAATAGCTTTTTGGGTAATTTTAAAAGTAAAATCCATTTACAAATGCACTTAAATATCTATAGAATAATTTTCTATTATGTTGTTTAACAATATATTTTTGCTTCAAATCAGATGCGTGGTAGCGCAATTAAAAAAATATATATTATAATTTTTATGTACATAAAAACAGTACACTATTTATTTCTTGTACCATGTAAAAATTTGAAAGTAAAATAATAACATTTATAAATTAATAGAAACAGTTAAACTAAAATCGGATGTAAAAAATATTTAAGATATTACAAAACTAATATTCAAAAAATAAAATAAATATATTGAAATTTTTAATCAAATATGATTAAAATCCGCTCATAGGCGTAGGATATGCCACAAAGCGTCCAGTTTAAAAATTTATTATCAAGAAATCTTTTATAACTCAATGTACAGAATTTTGATTTATTAATATACATATTATGAAATTATAGTATTTTATTTATGATTATAAATGAATGATTTTTTTTAAAGTTTTCCCTTCCTCGGTCATAAATTATGAAAATGTGTTTACAACGTAAAGTATTATTTATAAGTTTTTTTATAAAAATGTAAAGCGTCTGCATACAAACACCTCCTCATGCCTATATTATTTTCAAGCTATAAAAACTAAACCTCCTTCTCTTAACTAAAAAACCGTAGAAATGTTCGTCATTTATTTATTTAATTATAAATATTTGTAACAAATAATAATTATTCGTAAAAATACAAATGTTTTTGTTAATAATTTAGTAATAACCTACTTAATTAAAGTATTTCATAACTAGTCAATTCACGAAAAAAACTTTGTCTAAACATAAAGTTTGTGACACTTTTACAAAAAGATTTTGAATGTTAAATTCGTGATTTTTTTTTTAGCATTTGTTCTTATTTATCTTTATAAGATAAAACAGCGTTATATCTCATTACACGTTAAATGGTGTTTATTCAACTAAAATATAGTTAAATGAAATATAATAGAAAATGATTAATATGAATAATTTATTTAAGATATTATCATGAAAATTCGATAATTTGACATAAAAAGTTGTAAATGTATTGCAAATAACTGCAAACAATGGATTTATATGATTTTTACAAAAAAAAAAATTCAAATTCCTAAAAAGATTGTGTATCGTTTTTATAAAATTATATAATTAATTTTATGAAAAATTGTACATAAAATTTACATGATAAACGTTTAAAATATAAAAAAATAATTGTTTTATGGCTTACAACATTATCAATGTAAAATGTAGATTAAAAAGATGTTGTTTGAATATTATACTTGCACATAGTCATTGATTGTGAGTTAAATAGTCAGAAAATAAACACATTTAAAGTGTGTGAGCTGCACAATTAATACAATTAAACTTAATTGGAAATTGATAAAAAAAAAAATCCTACTCATATCGAATAAAAACTTAATTAATTAGAGTAAATCCAAACCTTTTTGGAAAAAATGCTTGTTCGAATTTCGAACTAAAAAATTATGTTTTACGTTCGGTTTAAAAATTATAAAATTAAAGTTCAGTTTTCGAATCAAACGTGGGGTGTTTTAATTGTATTAAATCTCATAAAGTTTGACACATCGCTAAAATAAAAAATTAAACTCGTCATAATATTTCTTAGGTATTTTTCATTGTGTACCTCTAACAGTGTTCTAATTGAACGAATTGTAGTGTTTAGGTAAAGATGAACAAGGCCGAGTAAACGTTAAACTGGAGCACCGATCCTCTACCCGGTTAATAACAAAACTACCATGTTTTGACCATGAGAAGACAAAATCGAGTTGAAAAAAATTGCAGAGATACACAATGTTATTGGTTATATTAGGTAATAAGTGTAACAAGCACAAAGTATGATAAATGGTCGAATTCGTATCCGGTTTGACCTCAGCGGGAGGGTCATGGGAGTTGATGTTGGTGTGTTTGATCGAAGCAACATCCTGACCTCGGAACGAAAAACCCAACTTTACCCGGTTACAGCCCGAGGTGCTCATCTAGCAAATTATAGAAGAGTAGGTCGAAGGGGAAACTCGAAGCTAGTTTGTCCTTCAAATTACCAAAAAACCACCATAGTTACGAGCCCCCCCTTGAAACTGGTCAAGTAGCTACCACTGGTCACCGTTGCTATATAAACCTGTAAACCCGTATTTTGCCCTACAATCAATCACTAACGTTTGATCTGCAACTGTCGCACGTCAACATATATACAACTATCACCATGGCATACATGGTAAGTAATAACATTAATGTAAATATTATTTTAAAGAAAGTGCACTGATGGAACGTTGTTATTCAATTGTTACATTTATTTGATTAATCAATCTTTGGAATATTTATTTCAATTATATTTATTCTGAGTAAAAACGTTATTTTTCTAAATAGCATGTTAGTTTGATATTCATTTAGCATTTATAAAATGTGTAAAATAAAACAATTTCGCTTTATAACCAATAGTATTTTTGAGATTAACGCTCATTATGTAATTATTTATTTCTTTTATTATTATTCACTTGGCAATCGTTAGAATTCACTCCTTAATTCAGTACTTTTAATGATTTAAGGTTATTGTTATAGCATTTTCTTTTGACTACACTTTAAATATTTCTTGATTTAATTCTCAATATTTAGTGACTTTTTTTTCCTAAATTTAACAACAGTTTCACTTCCATTAAATAATTTTATTTTAATGCCCTGACATTTTTATCTATAGTAAATAAAAAATATTCAGTATTTAACTAAAAAAAATATTTTATAGTAACGTCACCATTTTACAAATCCTAAAAAGAATTATTATAAAATGGATGTGTATAATTATTATATTATATTATAAATTATTACATTGCCTCATACTTGAGATAACTAAAAATTATTTTATTTACACCCAATTTTCAAATAAAATTTTCATAATTAACACACACTGTTAATAATTATTAACAGTGTGTATTAAACACTTCTCGTTGATTTAATTAACTGATAGGGCAAAAATAAATATAAAATTTTTAGTACTATCTGAAGAAAAAATTATTATTAAAATAACATTACATTTAATTCATTTTATTATTTTAATGAGTAATTATAGAGATTGGATTAATATATAAAAATATAATTTGGGAAATCTAATTATATAAAAAGTGAAAAAAATATGATTTTTTTACGCAGTTTGTCGTCATTGCCGCCACCCTCATGGCCTCTGCCTACGGATCACCTGTTGCGGCTCCAATCTACCCTTCAGCTTACTCAGCAGCTCCATCATACTCTGCCCCATCTTATGCTGCTCCTTCATATTCATCACCATCGTATGCTGCCCCTTCATACTCAGCACCTTCTTATGCTGCTCCTTCATACAAACCTTCTTACAAACCATCTTATGGACACGAATCTTATGAATCACCCAAGCCATATGATTTCGAATACGCCGTAAACGACCAATACACTGGTGATGTTAAAAGCCAAAATGAATATGCTGATGCCAACGGTAATGTCAAGGGATACTACAGCCTTGTCGAAGCCGACGGCAGCAAACGCGTTGTAGAATACACCGCTGATGACTACGGTTTCAACGCTGTTGTCAAGAAGGAAGGTGGATACGCTCCAGCTTATTCTTCCCCATCTTACGCTGCCCCATCATACTCCGCACCAGCTTACAAATCTCCATCATACGCTGCCCCAGCTTACAAATCCCCATCTTACTCCGCTCCATCATACTCTGCCCCATCATACTCCGCACCATCTTACTCTGCCCCAGCATACAAATCCTCATCTTATGCTGCTCCAGCTTACAAATCTCCATTGTACGCTGCCCCAGCTTACAAATCTCCATCTTACTCTTCCCCCTCCTACTCTTCTCCTTCCTATTCAGCCCCAGCTTATCCAGCTCCAGCCTACTAAGTCATTCAATTAAAATAATACATTTATTTTAAAATATAATGAAACACTATTGACTGCTCAACATAAAAACTTTTAATTTATTGTTATTTATTTATTTATTTAAATATAATAAACAAAACATTTTGCAAGATAAAATATGTAGTTGCTTTTTTAAGAAAGTGTTTATTTTTTTGGTGACTTAAATCTTTATTTGAGATTTTTGATTAACAAAAATATAATCTATTAATAAGATATTCTGAACAGGTAAAATTTGCTCAAAGTCAATTGGTAGTCGAAGGTAAAGTAAATATTGGTTGTAATCTGTACACCATAGTTAACAAACTACTACTATTTTTGTAATTAGGTTTAAATTATTTAAAAAAATAAAAAATGAGCATATTTGTTATATTGTTGAGTAAAATTGATATTGTTGAATTATTAAAGAAGTAAATATCTGGATAAAAGAATAAAATTCCTTTACTGAAAACAAATTCAAAACAGTTTGATTTTAGTTTGTATAAATAATAATTGAGAAATATAGAAATATAGAAAAACCTCGAAACGACAGTTAATTTAATCAAATCAAATTCCTTTTTATGATAACAATATCATTTTCCACGATACAGTTCTATAATGTAAATTCATTGGCTATATGTCGAGTATAGGGCTAAATTAAAAGGTATTAGTTTGAACAGGGCAGAAGTAAGATGATTACACTTTCATAGGTCATCAATGTATTACTTAATCTATGATGTAAAATTTGCAATACATTTTTGTTATTTTCAATTGGAAGGTCAGAATTGTAATGATAAGCTTATATGCGTTTACAATCGATAGAATGCTAATTATACCGACAAATTTAATAGAAAAATTATACATTTTTAATCACTTCAAAAATGCATTATTATTTTTAAGTACTAATAACTTCATTAAGCATTATATTAGTGTCTTAAAAAAACCCTCGATAGAGACACAAGACTTTAGACTATTATATTCATACGCAATAATTAACAAACTATAAATGATTAATTAAAAAAGGTAAATTATATGATTAATTACAGTTAGATATTTATTGAGTATTATGTTAGACAGCATTACTGCATAAAATATCCACTCGTGGAAATTATAGCCTAACACAATTTGAATCGAATAACTTTATTTTTTTAAGAGACAGATTTTACTCGTATACAACGATTTGTCCTTAAAAGTTAGTTTAAACAATAAAAAAAGTTGTAGGATACATGCAAACTTCTAAGAAACATTTATATTTAAAATTATTGATATCCATTTTCTATAGTGTTTTACCTATGTATGCCTTATGCAAAATATGCATAGATACTTAGTTATGAATTCTTATACGGTAAAATATTTTAAAAATATTTCTAGTTATCAATGTGGGTACTGAATAGTTATTACCATTACTATTTCTTCTTCTTTTACCTCGCCTTAATTCATGCTACTTGGGGTTGGCCACCCTTATATTATTATTACTATTTAAAAAACGATTTAATTTAAATGTTTTGATGACAATTCAGCAATTATTGGTAGTAAAATAATCACTAATAAGAATTTCTAAATGTTATAGATTTCAAATGAATTCATCCTTAATGGGTACAGTGCATTAAACCTTTAGCTGATTGCATAGATTTATTTAGCCACTGAGGTGACGATTTTCTACTAAGGAATTTAACTTAATTTTACTCATAATTTTTCTAGAATTTTATTGATAAACAAAAAAGTACTTTAAAAAAGGGTTAGAATATTTAGTGGTTTATTTAAAGTTATTATATTTACAATTATTTTAGTTCAATCTTTAGATTCATATGACAATACAATTATAGGTAATCGATGTGAAATTTTTCTTGTATTCGATAAATTGATATTTGTATTAGATTGTATTGATATTAGATTTTTATAATTTACTAGAATTTATTTTTATAACACTTTATAGTTTAAAATATTATATTTGTAATATTATAATATTGATCTCACTAATAAGTAATATTATATTACAAGTTATAATGTAAGGATTTTTCTTAGATAAGCGATTATAATTTTAAACAAGCTAATGTGGGTGCTCTGTCCTTACGTATTTTATGATGGTTATTATTTTACTCTATATAAATTGTTTTTAGGATTTTTATGAATTATACTTCAATTAATTAAGCTATCCAATAAACTTAAGAGTTATTAAAAAATGGTGTTAGCGTCCTAATCAACAGGCAACTTCCATGACCAACGAAGTATTTTTAGGTTGGAGGTTGTTTCATCAACATTAATTATTCATCAGTTATTAGTTTTGTTCTTTTTCTATTTTTTGTTAATACTATATTTGTACTTCAACATGACGTTAGTTCCGATTATATATTGTTTAAAGTTTCTTTAACACCTGACACGTTGTAATTGTACAGATGTTTAATAGAAAAACTTATATTTTTTGTGTTTATTTACGTCTCTAACAATTTTACTTATTTAAATTTTCTTAATAGGATTTTCCTAACTGAGGCTCTATTCCAGGACTTTTTATTAGGCCTTACGTGATTTTGGTGCGTTAGTTCATACGGCCGGTGATTATGGTAGTATAGTCATTTCGTTAGAAGTACCCGTCTACCTTAGGACTACACTACTACAATAGAAATTAGGAGGCAAAGATCAATATAAATATTTATAAGATTGTGATTTAATGAATATTTTAGTATAACAATTGAAAAATTATATGATGTGGATTGGTTTAATAAAAATTATACACGCATACTACAAAAATAAAGCATATTATATAAAAAAAAAAATAATGATGTAATTAATAAATATAAATTTTCTTCAATATTATTATTTCTTTATATAAACTACATAAAAATTTAAAAACAAAAAATTGTGCGTATGGAGTGAGTAGATATTATAGATATTAAAACGATTATTAAGCATGCACATTAATGAACACATCAATTAGTTAAATTTGTGCACATAGGCTTAAAAAAAGCTCACAATTCGAACAAACTGAACAGTTTACAAAAAAATATTCAGGGTATCTTTTGACTGTCTTAGTGGAAATGTGGTTAGCGGTGGTTTTGAGCGTTTTTCTTAAACAATCTAACTTTTTAAACGCTGGCAAAGTATTTTTTTTATTTTTTCGAATAATTTTCTTAAATTAATGTCGCGAAACTCTTTCATTTTAAAAAAAAGTTTTGAAAATCGTAGTAATTTTATTACTTATAATTTTAATATTTCTTTCGATGGGTAAAAACAACTGGAGAGCGAAAAAACAAAACCACATCAAATACACACCAATCGTGTATATACACTACTCCTAGTTGAGTAAATCATACTGACTTCACAAAACAATTTGACGGTCTTACATCTGTTGAAATGTGATAAGTTGAACGTCAGTGCCGTAGACGGTGGTTCAACAAAATTAATATAATTAATTTATAAAAAGAGTTATGTAATTTAGTTGAAGTGAACTACAATAACAATATTTAATAAACATTATATTCACATATGTCATAAGAAACATAAAATATGCATAAAGTAACATGCAATTTGATATAAAGTGATAAACTGAACGAAGCTTATTATTTAGCTTTACATTTTTTAAGTAACAATTAATCAAGATAAAAATTTTAGTAAAGAGTAATTCTAGACACTTTGTTTTAAACAATTTTAATTGCAATTTTGTAATTAGTTATATGAACTCTTACCCTTTTTTTTTTAAATCAATCCTCTTGGTAATATTGACAATTATTATCAATAATTCAAAGAAAAATACTACTTAAATTTTATTAAATGCAAATACGCAACATCATAATTCCGATGACTGGGGTCCACCTGACTTTCATAAAATAAACCCCAAATTTGACAATGACATGAATGAATACTAATTTGAAATATTCAAACTATACGAAAATAGCTCAATTGAATATAATTTAAAATAGCCAAATCATATTAAAGTATGAAGCACAATAACAACCATAAACAATAATTACTCCTGATAACCAACAATCCTTTCAGAATGAATCATACTGACAATAAAACTGATGAAAAATGGTAAAAAAAATGTAGTTTTCGAAATAAACGCACTACCACCATATGAACGACTGCGTTCAAAACATAAAACAAATGTGTGTTGGCCATCCTAACATGATAATGTAAACACAATTATATAACGAANTGTAGTTTTCGAAATAAACGCACTACCACTATATGAACGACTGCGTTCAAAACATAAAACAAATGTGTGTTGGCCATCCTAACATGATAATGTAAACACAATTATATAACGAAATAAAAAAGAAAAAACTAACAGTTTATTATTCTATCAAAATATATATACAATATATATATATATACAAATACAACATGTATCTTATTCTCCCCTACGGTATAATAGATAGTTCTGACTGGCAAACTCTGCGGCCACTCTGTTTTTCCATAAGTGTCCAAAAGGCTTTGACACCTCACACCGTGGGGTGTTCGACAGAATTAACAATTTAGAAAAAAAAGAAACTAAAAATTATTTATCTTTGTGTTGTATCCATGCGGGCTAATGGACCTGTAGTCCCCACCATGAAATTTATGCGATAACTAAATTAACTATTAAATAATGTATTTTTAGATGGATATTTAGTAAAAAAATCATCATAAAATGATAAAACATTTCTTCAATCCTCCTCAACACTTCTCAAATACTGGTTTCGTNTATTTCTTCAATCCTCCTCAACATTTCTCAAATACTGGTTTCGTCAATGACTTATCCATTTATAAATAATTACATTGTTTTATTCTTGTGTTTAAAATTTGAACACAATATTATGTTATTATCAATGAAAAAAAGTAAATTGAAATACTAGTATTTTCAAGCAGTATATTTGTTTGCTTTTATTAATAATTTTAGTTTCTGGGATGATCAAAAAGTTTTTCTTAGCTACGCAAAAAATCATTTTACTGCACAATGTTCAACTATACTTTAAATTATAGCCTGTTGTATTTGTTGATCCATTAATTTGAAAAACAAGTTTTCAAATACATTAAATTTTTTTATAGATAGATTTTACACCACTATTGAAAAAAAATTAAAAGCTCTATGAGTTTGAAAGATTTTTTTGATAACGTGTATTAATTAACTAGCTTACAAATTTGTTAGATAATGATCTAATAAGGAAGTTTCGAATCGATAATAACTTTTGGATCAGTATTTCAGAAATTATTAACAAATTATAGTAATGACTGATGGTGAGGCGTGGAAGCTACTATTTTTATCACTAGAAATTTCTTGGCCTCATCTTTACTCCTCTTAGGTATAAAAATGTTAATAACTTCTGAACTACTAGTCCAAAAGGTGTTATGTATTTAAGAGAAACTTAAAATTTAATCATCAATATTATTTTTGTTTTATGATTCATTAAGTGGTTCTTGATAAAAGAATCATTCTGTTTGCCCTGTAGTATTCTGTAGTCCATTAAAGATACTGATGATCTAAATAAGGCAACCGGTCGCCTGAGTTAGACAAATTCGTACATTTTTGAAATAAAAAAAAAAGCATCTATAATTCAAAAAGTCAGTTCAACTATGGTTACTTGATGCTTACATATGAATGTGTCATTTTAACAATGTTACACTTGTATAGTTTTTTTAAGAGAGCTCTAGTCCAAATTAGGTGACTACCCTATTTTTGTTAGACCAATTGGAATTTAAACATTGTAAAAATAATTTAATAATGTCATTAAAATTTTTCTTTTTACAAGGCTTTTACAAATAATAGTAATCCATATCTAATTTGTATTATTCATACTATTACTATTTTAAGTTCTCATCCACGCTGGCTCATTGATTTTTTTTATATCGCATAAAATTTAATTTATTTTTAATTAACACGCTTCTACCGATTTCCTATTAAGTGTGAGGGCTGTGATACTCTCTAAATGTTATTCGTAGTCGTTAGTTAATTTTTTAAAATATATAGTTGACAGTCGATAAATTTAAAAGTTGGCTTTTAAGATTTTCCTTTTGAAAAATTCTGGAATATTTTCAGAAAATAGAGGAGTCGTTTATGAAATCATTTATCTAAGAAAAATATTATTCTAGTGTTATTTTTTATTATTAATTAAAAATTTTACAATCGATAAGTCATTCTACCCCTCCTTCAAATTATCATTAGATTTTCTCCTGTTAGTATTATTTGATTAATTTATTCAATTAGATTTATATGTTTCATTATCATCATGATTTTATGTGCCGTTTTCAATTAAAAGAACAGACTTAATTCATTGACCAAACTATCTAAACAATGTGTATAATTTAATTTTAATTTAATAGGTAAATACAATATATTTGCTTTATGCAGTATGTGAACGTAATCATTAATTTTTTGATTAATGTTTCCTCATAAGCACGATTGTGCATATATTTCGTACATTGTTACTGTTTATAAAATACAAGTTGTGAAATGAGCTGCATTTTTAATAGCAGCAAAATTGATCACATTATGTATTTTAAAAAATACAAAATCTTAACTAATGCATAATAGAAAAAACCTACAACCTTGGTACACGATTATTGTCATATATTTTACATAAAAGCGTTGGTCGACTAGTATTCTTACTAGACAGCTGAAAGCTGCGGCTCTCCCCATTGGGAGTGGTCATTTTTTGATATTTTATTTTAAATGTTTTGCTCCAGGGTAGGTCACATTACTGGACAAAATGCATTATGTCTATTATGGGTTGTTCAAAGCACGAAAATAGAGTGAAATTCTGCAATCTTGGACATATCTAGATCAAAAATCATATAAATACGTTAGCAAGTGTCTGATATTGATCAATATTGTGTCTGATCTTGTTTGAATCACGTACAACAGTAAAAAAACTCCAGTAAAAATGGTCTCTAAGGTAAGTGATATTTATATTAAATATAAATAGTTGTTAAATGTTAACTACTATTCAATAAATATTTAAGTTAGATTAAAAATGTCTCTCTTTTATTAGTAATTCAATTTTATATTTAATTCTGTTTTTAATGAGAACATTTGAATAATTTTTCAATTAATTAATTAAATAGAAAAAAATTATACATATATATATATATGTTTAGGCTTTTGATAACTTGTATAGTACTGTTCCTTTGCAACTTAACATGATATCAATATAAACGGAATATAATTGCAGAGCTAATGTTAAGCATCACTAGTAAAGCATTTTTAAATATTTTGTCATTTCGTGGCAAGTTTATTATAATTTATGAAAAAGTAATAGAAATATGTTCAATAAATAAATAAATACTTAATTAGTGATTGTATTTTAATAACTATTTTAGACATCGTTATATTTTGTTCCTGTTAGTCACTAAATTTTTAAAATATATCTATATAAAAAGGAAATTATTTAATCTGGGCTAATTTAAGATAAGATTTACAAAAAAATAAAAAAGGGAAATATTTTTAGTTAGTACCGAATCTGTTAGTATTTTTATTACTAGGTAAATGGGGTACATTGTAATTTTTCCTTTAATAATATTAAATTTTTTTAATATATAAATAATTTTGAAAACAGCAACATTGTATTGATTGTTGAGAGGCTTAGAGTTTGATGACATTTATATATATCGCGTATATCATTCATTGATTTATAACAAACTCACAATTCATGTTAGTTTTATTGATTACAAACTTTATTTATAATACTAAAATGTATAAAAAAGAATTTATAACGGACAGTTTGGTGTTTAAAAAATATAAAAATTGAAAATACTAAAAAAAAAATGTTTGTATTTATATCTTAGAACAAAATTGAAAGAAAAATTGTATTTAATTTTATCAATAATGAATAATCTTATATTTTATTAGTTTGTTCATACATTTATGAACAAAAAAGTTTGTTCATTAATTTAAGTTATTATGAATTTTAATATAAAAATATAGTTTTTTAAAAAAGTTTTCTATGAGATCATAATATTGTATAAATGGATCTTTTTTAATTAATATTTTTTGTTAGATTATTGTATTGGCTTCGGCTATGTTAGCCGCTGCGTCTGCTGCTCCTGCTTATCCATCATACGCTGCACCAGCTTATCAATCATACGCTGCACCAGCTTATCAATCATACGCTGCACCATCTTATCAATCATACGCTGCACCAGCTTATCAATCATACGCTGCACCAGCTTACTCTGCACCAAAACCTTATTATCCCAAATCTTATGCCCCAGAACCTGCCTATGCTCCAGCCCCATACAACTTCGAATACAGCGTAAATGACCCATACACCTACGACATCAAGAGCCAACAAGAATACTCCGACGGAAACGGATACGTCAAGGGATCATACAGTTTGGTCGAACCTGACGGTACCACCCGCGTTGTCGAATATACTGCAGATGACTACAACGGTTTCCAAGCTGATGTTAAGAAAATCGGTGGATACTCTGCCGGATACGCTGCTCCAGCATACAAACCATCATACAGGCCAGCATATAAGCCAGCTTACTAAATCACCAAAGTGTTCTCTTCTTTGTTTCTTTCATTTAAATCTCACTTCTAATTGTGTCAATCTTATATTTATTTTTGAATAAATTAAAATGTCTATTTTGTGTTGAAAGAGTTTAAAATTTATCGTGTATTATGATAATTAAATTAAATTAATCTTTTCCAGTTAATTAGAGTATACAAAATCAAAAATGACTACACCATGTTCCGCGAAAACTAAGGAAAATTAAATTGCAATTAATTCGAAAAAAATAATTCAATTTGTAGGGTAGACAGAATTAAACAAAATTAGTTGCGGCAATAAATTGAGTTCACATAAAATAAAGAAGATTGGTCGTGCTGTACCCAACCTTTTATATGTTTACTTTAGGTGACCGGTACGATATGTCCGTTGTCGAGGAATAGTCAGACTCAGAGCTGTTTTCCGTCTGTAGCGAGTATTTTTTTTCGTGTTGTGCGCACTACAACTTTGTGTAGCTTCTAACACGAAAGGCGTGTTACAAGAGCGCCATGTTCATATACTTTTTGTATTTTTTTTGTACAATTTTTAAGTTTCCAATGGTGAGGAACGCGTTTAAAGACCGCCTTATTCCCGTGTTAATTATTCATTATTTATTATTAGTGGTGATTATTTTATTGACAATGTGACACGGATGCTTTCTTTAACCCGCGGTGTCCTAATATCTTGCAAGTTCTCACCTTAATACTAACAAATAGTTTGCCAGCTTGAGGCATACGGAGGGCTAGAGTAATGGTACATCATATTTGATGCTAGTCGATCGCACGGAGGTGATTATAGTATTCTCTCGTACAAACTTGTAGGTGTAAATTTTTTATTAATGTCTAATTTTTTTTTATATTCTCTGATTCATTTAATTTGCAGGCGAGGTATTTGACTGATCGGTTTTTTGCTTAGTATTAACTTAAATAGTTTTTTTTATTTAATAAAGTTCGCTTAATTTAATCTAATTAAGATATACATATATATTATCCTGTGTTCTATCTTTAATGGACTCGTGTATATTACCATTCAAAAATAACAACTCATAATACAATCTGAAAACTTAAAATGTTCTTTTTTAAATCAACATAATAAGGAAATTAGCTTTAGTGTTTAATTTTTATATATATATAAAAAATACTATTCTAGTTTAACTTAATGTTTTGCTGAATAGGTTGGCCATCCATTTATTTTAATTTTTCTAAGCGCCATAAAAGATACAAATTCCAATGTGGCCAAAATTTAAAAATAATATTTTTGTAACCAAACTTTTTACTTAATTTAAGAAATTAGAAATATTAAAAATATCTAGGGCCTATTAGGTATTACACATGTGCGTACATGTTAAATAGTCTCTCTTATATTGACAGGCACAAATAAAGAAATATTTTATTCTTACAATAAATACAATCTAATGATAATATGATCTTGTTTCTTGTATTTTACTGAGAATTTAACAATTATATAACAGATCATTAGAAAATATAATTGAATGGCTTATTGGTAACGTTGAAATATTTTTGACGTGACCTTTAACTTTATAGTTTCGTTTTTTTTAACTCTCAGTAAGTGTCATAAATTAATAAGTATTATGTATTAATAAGATATATAAATGTTTGTGTACACATATTATTGTAAGACAAGTTTTAACAGCCTTCACATCATAAGGGCTCTAAGGAAGTGTCATACTAATTGGTGTAATACTTCTGTCAAAGCATCAACTAAATAATTGGTCTGGAAACTTTGTAAAAAATACTTAGTGTTCGGCGTTGGCATTAAAAATGACGGAGACGAAAAAAAAAAAAGAACATGGGGACTCTAACACGATCAATGACAGAAAGATGGAAGAGGCTCTTCCCTTTTAACGGCATCCTGGTTATAGTTGAGTTCTGACGTTTCAGACTCATTGCAGAATTAATCTTAAGCACTTTAAGCAACAAAACAATCCTTTAACACATTAATAGAGTATAATTCATTCCGAAACTAGTTAAGACTGCGCGATAAGTAAACACCATAACGCTATGGACATAAACATTGATCCTAGTCTGCTCAACGGCAAAATAAGACACACCAATACAGAAAAACAATAATCATAGCAAGCTGGTAGACACCAAAATAATGAAATCGTCTAATAAGCGTGTAATGAC